TTTGACTGTATTTAACAGGAATGGCCCATTGAGAAACCAAATATATCTGTTTATGTGTGTATACATACACACATATATATATATATATGTGTGTGTATGCTTAGACATGCATGCACACATACCTATATATACATACATAATACACATGCATGCATGCATGCATATGCACACACCTACATACACATGTGTACGTATATTCATGTACATGCATGTTACATACATGTGCATAACTGAGCATACATATGAACATGCTTGCACACATATACCTATGTAGATACATATGCAAACACCCACACCCACACATGCATGCATGCATGCATCATCGTATATACAATCATAAAACTTCTTTGTTAAAAGCACACATGCACATACATATATTTGCAGATATTCTTGCGCCTGGGTATGTAAAGTGTCATAGACCCTGATTGAACGTTTTCTGAATTCCACACCGGATCCCAACATCAAAAAAACATCCACATAAGCAAATGCTGAAGCTTGAACCATGTTACCCCACACCCCCCCCCGCCCCCAAATGTTAACCTTGCGACACAAAGGACACACCACAAACGACCAGTTAATGGGTAACCCAAACCATGTCGGCTGCTCGAATGTTGGGCTCTGCGTGCCCGATCGAAGATTCCAGCACTCGGCCCTTGAGGGACTTCGGCACAGGCATCGACCTGCATAGTTATGCAAATCATTCTGAACAAGAATACACGTGGTGCTACTGAAACTTGCTTCTCCTAAAGGAAATCAGCACTCTGATGGCATCACGAATTGAGTGACTTGCACTACAGATCCAGGACACACCCGAATCGACTTAAATCGTTGCATGGGCCCGGCCTGCAGGGTAAAATCCACAAGCCTCATCCAGCGACTTCAGCACGATCACCGGGGAGACCTGCGCCAACAGTCCACAACACGTTCAAATGACACACGTATGCTGGCAGAAGTGCTTCTCGCAAGTTGGACTCTCTTTCAGCACAATGGCACAAAGAACTCGATCGGATTCATTTTCACGGCAGCGGTGTTTGGAACGATCCAATCTCGCAAGTCGCTATGCTTGTGAGGTAATGAAAACGAATGGCTCGATCAGCAACAGACGTGTTGCAAGCTTGCTTCCCACTCATGCGCCCTGCAGCTGAAGATTGCCACACCAGCAACCCAATGCTACATAGGTGATGATAAATCAGCAAACATGTGTTTGTAACGACATTCACCAGCTGCACTGAATCACAACATTGGGGTAATCTTCACACCGCAGACTATGCACATGAATCCCATGCAAACAGCCTAGGCACATCCATTATGAGCAAGCCAGTTCGCTGGCCCCGGCACACACCGAAACACCAAAATTCAGGATGTGGCTTTGCCACATTTGGGAAGCTCCCAGTTCGTGGCCAGGTCCTTCATCTCTTGCTTTTTTGCATAAAGAAACTGGGCCACATATTGATTATCATCCTCATGGCCATGCTCATCCAGCACCTTTGCCTTGGTAAGTGCGTGGTTAATCGCTCGATCTGCATTTATCATCTCTCTCTCTCTCTCTCTTTCTCTCTCTGTCTCTCTCTCTCTCTCTCTCTCTCTCTCTCTCTCTCTGTACCCAACTCAATTGCCAGCCACTGAACTCTCGATCAAGCATGAAACAGCTGGGGCACACATGCCACTGCAGCATTCACCAGATGGGTCACGGATACACCCTTCGTCCCGAGGTAGAAAACCTGCACCACGTGGCAAATCCAGACAAACGACGTAGTAAACAACGAAAATCACATCCTGACATTATATAATCTATATAGAACTGAACAGCCTGCTTCGAGTCAGCATTCTTCTTGATGCCAACACCAGGCCGTGACCAATAAACCATCAAAGTGTAATTGTTCAGGGTGCCATTGGTCTTCAAGATGAGACCCTTGCAACGGGTCTTTTCCTTGGCAACATATGAGCACACATATCTTGATTGAACCACAACATCCATCATGCAATGAATCTCTCATCCTCTCTGCACACACAACGAAAACCACAACATATCTGGGTCTAGATGCCTCCTCTTCTGGGGAAACGCCCTGCGCTAGCGCCTCTGCCTTGCTCCTTGCCAAAGCCTTCCCTTGCTCGAGGGTCTCGGCAAGGCCACTCTTCCTCCTTTTGCGTCGCCCTGCAGCCTGCTCCTCATCGCACACATCCGGAGCTTTGTTCTTCTTGCCTGCCCTTGCAGGCTGTGCATCCCCCTCCTCAGGCACAGCAACACCTGCTGCTCCCTTGCCTGCTTGCTTTCCACGGACTCGCTTCACAGGGGTCGGGTTGATCTGCTCTTGATTTGCTGCCCTCTTCTGGCCCCGGCCGCCCCGACCCCTACCGCCCCGACCCCTGCCACCACCTCGGGCCCTTCCACCACCACAGGCTGGGGCCGATGGCGTGGGCTCCTCACCCTCAGCTCCCTGCTCACATTCATCCCCAGCCACAGGAGGCTCCTTTGGTTCAGCGGCCTGTTTTTTGGCCTTGCTCTTAGCAGCTGTCCTCCGAGTCTTCTTATCTGCAATCTCTTCATTGTGAGCATTATTTTCTTTCTCTTTCTTCTTCAGCTCCTTCTCTTCTTTATCTTTCTTCTGCTGCAGCTTCTTGGCCTCGGCCTCAGCTTTTCTCTGCTGCCGAGCTAAAAGTTGGTCCTCCCGAGTCACAACCTGAGATGCTCAGAAACAGCACAGCATTCACAGTCAACACAAGGAAACACAGTAACATGACATGGTTCTACATTCAGCCATTTGGCAGGTGGATCAGGCACAACTGGCACAAGAGATTCAACCGCCTTGGCCCTTGCAAGCTCCGGCTCCTTCTCCATATCATCCTGGGTATGTCTAGCATCGTGTCCAACACATGATGAATTTTTTCATTCTAGTAAGCACCACACTACACCACTTTTTTTCACATGCACTTATACAACAACTAGTCTACACACGTATACAACAGCTATACCAGTAGTCCCAAGGAGCCCTAGCAGGCTTTGTAAGAAAACATCCAAGCCATGTATATATAATGCATGTATATAAAGTTAAAACCATAATATACCCCATGCGAGCATAACCTTGTATGTATTCTGTATATAGTGTTGTAGGGTCCCAGTGTTAGCCCCCACTAAAATAATGACTTGTTTGATTACAAATCTTTTGATTGACCTTGTATTGCACATGATGATTAACAAAGCTGGCTGACCCGCTTGGTTGCTGGACTAGTCTCACTCGGGACCCTTTCAGGAGTCCTGTCCTTTGCAGCCTGTGCCATTGCTTCCGTGATCTGGCTCTCGGTAGCCACCTGCGTCTCATCATTGTCATTGGACCAGGCGAGCTCACGTCCTCAAATTAACACAAATCAGACTGTCATCATGCTCTCACATCAGCTGAACCCAAATGAGCTTTCTTTCGAGAACACCCATCAAGATCCAAGGTTCGGGAAATCTGGCTCGGATCCGGCTTCCCGCGCGAAGTCTCCAAGTGTAAACTTGGCTGTGTAATGAGTCGAAGACAAACCATAAAGTTCAAAATACATGTCAACACATGCACCTCATGGCTACGAATCCACAAACATGACATAGTATGAGCTCAGAAACAGCTCTGCTTCAAGCTTCGCCAACTCCCGCAAAGCTGCCTCTCGGTCAAAGGCGTCCGTCTCAGCCAAAACATCAGCCAGGGTCTTGTCCACGGGCTCCTGCTTAATGACCTTTTTAGGTGAGTCTACCACCAGCAACACCTCCTTGACGAGCACAGGCAACGAGGGAGGGGATGGCGTGATCTGCCCATTACCTGCTTCTGAAAAGCACTTGTGCTTGGGATCTGGAGTCTCTAGAACCGTCGTCGCCAGCGATGCACTGCTTGCCAAACTACCAATGGACCTCGAACTGTCAGTATGAATGACACCAGGCTTCTCATGGCTTTGCATGGGCTTGCTGGGCGGCTTCTCTGCATGGCTTTGCACGGGCTCGCTGGGGGGCTTCTCTGCATTGCTTTGCATGGGCTCGCTGGGGGGCTTCTCTCCATCGCTTTGCACGGGCTTGCTGGGTGGCTTCTCTGCATGGCTTTCCTCCACACATGGAGGCTCAACCACCTCATCATTTTCCCAATCCTCCTCCTCCTCTCCTTCATAACCCTCTTGCATTGCATCATGAAGGCCTGCGGCTTCGTCCTCCTCAGCCCGAGCTTCAACCTCTTTGCAACTCCAACGGGTGCACTTTCCGCCCTTTGGATACTTGTCCTTACATGATATTTGTTCATGAACTGCATGCTGCCTACACTGCAAGGACATTGACAATGCACTCCTTCAACCATGGTGTTGCAGGCAAGAATCTTCATCGCCCCAGTAGCTCAGCAGAATGGCGAAGTCCGGATTCTGGGCATCAAAAACAGCAACGATGATCCAGCAGCATATAGCTCAACACTACACTCGAAACAGTATTGCAGGAAAGTCTCTTTAACCTTTGCACCCTGCTTCAAGAACCGAGCCCGAGCATAAGACAGAAGGCGTTTCATGGTCTTGGCATCAAGATGGCAATTTCCTTCAACCAAAGCCATGCTGGCTTCAAGCACAGCCTTTGGCTGTTTCTTCCCATGCTTCTCCTTCTGTGCAAGCCGGGCCTGATACAAAGCCTTCAACTCTGATTTCAACGACTCAACATCTGGAATGTCAAGGGTTTTCTCTCGGCGTTGCCGAATCATGTATGGAGTCAGCAAGGCTTTGTTATGCACACAATGCAATTCAGAAGCACTGACAAAGAGCCCATAATAGGACCGAACCAAACGCCCTCCGGCATCCAGCCGTTGAGCGATCTCCCTGTCCCGCAGCCATGCGGTATGGAGGTTTTCCAGGGAAGCGAATTTAGCCATGGTCCTTCAAAGGAGCACTGCACTATGACACTGCAAAGTCGAACTAGCACCACATCCCTCAACTCAGCACTCCGAAACTCGAATTGTCACCGCATTGCTCGAAACTAGCTAACTGCTTGTCTATACATGCTGCTGCAACTTGTACCTGAGCATGCCAGCTGTGAGGAGAACAGCTGCAAACTGGAGTTTGTCAACCAAGGCAGCAACCCATTTAGCAAATCAAGCGCCACAAGGACTGACTGCACCACAGCAAGCATGGGGGAGGGCGCACCTCCAAACGTCTGAATTCTGAATTCTCTCGGCCATGACCAGCATGCCGACGACTAATTAGGCTTCGGTGCGGCTTTGCTATGTAAGTCTGTCCAGTTTATGAGAGCTCTATATAGGAGACTAAATATATTTGGAGCCATATACAGGGGGAACGGACCCCCTGTATATTCAGGCTTTTTTTTATATATTAAGGTCTATAATATACATAGAAGATCTTCTAAGGGGTTTGTACAGGTTTCAATATTTCAGGGCTTCCATAGTCTTCCGAACGGCTGTTACAGGCTCAGAAAGGGCTATATCGGGCTTCTATAGGGTTCAGAACCGCTGTTACAGCCTCAGACAAAGCTATATAAATATATAACTTTAAACTCATTCATAAGGGCTAGAATGGCTGATCTTTAGTATATTTTAAGGGTTTGGGTTCACCTCTCTTCTTGCAGCCGAAGCTGAGACAATGCGGCGGATTGCGCAGCCACCTCAGCGATTATGGCCCCTAATTTATGCATATATATATATACATACATAAACTCAATCAAACCCAGCCGGAATGACCCTGGAATCTGAAATGCACCCTCACAGACACGAAGCATAAAACGCCCCAGCGGGAAAAGTAAACCAAACCCTCGAACACAAAAAAGTAATCCAGCGGGAAAAGTAAACCAAATTAAAAAATTCTAGATATTTTCCTCGGAATGAAAAAAAGTAGACCCACGCACTTACTGGTATAGCCATATAGCTATCTACCTATGGATCGGTAGCCGGCTTGTCGCAACTTAAGCCAACTTCCCGAACAAGGGCTGACAAGGAGGGTCGCTCTGTTATTGGAGCTGGCTCGCTGCTTTAGCTGCCGATCCCTTGGTCAGCTCGGTCTCCGCCTTAGGGGTATAGGGTCTTAATAAACCCAACAGTTGGAAACCCAATAGCCTCAGTCTTTAAGATAACTATATAGGGAATCCCAGCACTAATTGTCCTTAATCTCGTTTCCAACTTTGTGGGGCTTATTGTAAGTCTTTCCCTACACTCACCACCAACTCTGAACATCCTCAGCTTGGCTTTTCCAGCTTGGTGTGCTTGGACTTGGCATGATCAGGTTCCTGATGCCTCTTACCAAAATACCTAAAGCCTAAGCGCTCAACAAGCCCAGCCAATCCTGCACAAACCCGAAGAGCCCCAATCCCACAAAAATCCAACCCCAGTAGCCTCATAGTATCGCTACGCTGAAAGACCATATAAAACTTAAACAATCAGATACGCTAATATAGAAGTCTGACCAGTTAAACATGTTATTCCTAAGAGCCCGGTATTGTGATGAGCTTAAAACCGTTTATTGTATAAATGTGGGATAAAGCCCGCCAAAGTATTGATGCGCCTATATATGGAACCCGTATAGTAACTTGTGCAGGACCCTCTATAGGAACGCTGCTACCCCGAATCCTGACCCGGCGAGCCACGTTTCTGAGGTTGCCTCCAGGCCATGTGCTCCTACAACCTCGTGAACGGCCGGCCCCCTGAGTCAGGGTTGAGGGTCTAGGATTTCGGCTCGGGTTTAGGGGTTCGCGAGGGTAAATCCTGAGGATGTAAGGAGTGTTAGAAGGGTTCAGTTACACAGTTCTCGTGGCTTGAAGCGGCTTTGTAGTGTTTCGTCAACGTTTTGTTAATCGCCCTCTGAGGATTCCAGGCTGTTGTTTGGCAAAAGGGATTGGTTTCCAACTAGCTTGTTGATAGGGGTGTCTGTTCTGTAGGGTTTATCGTCAAATAAAAAGTAGTGCAAGAAGCCACCCCCGACAGGTTTCACAATTTACCTCATGGGAGACTTGTTGCCCGAGGGCGGCCGAGGTTTCCATGAGATTGCACGCTGAGGGTTTAGGGTTTAGGGGGTTGTTTACGGCATACACTGCTAGTCCGCGCTTAAACAAGGGGGTTCTTTCACTTGGAGCAGTCCACAGCATAGTCGGCACTTCCGTTCCGGGCATATGCATAGTCCAGGTGTAAAAGGGGGTTCAGGGTTCTTGTCCACGTGGTCATTATCCTTGCTTAAGGGGGTTTCCCAAACTAGCAGTCCTCCACACGGGCCCCCTATAGCAAAGAGCACAAGATTCTCGGTGCTACGCTGGGGGGACCCTATTTTTTTTTTTTTTTTTCTTTGCCCTTGTTTTTGTTTTTCCTTTGGGGGCCTCGGTTAACGGCGGTCGTTCTCCATGAGTTTGCTTTGCGCTCCGCTTTCTGCCGCTTGCTGCTTTCTTTGCTTGTTGCTTTGTTGTGATTGTTGTTTTTGCTTTCTGTTGTTTTTGTTCTTTTACTTGTTGCTTCACAACTCTATTCCCTGGGTTTCTCTGCATTTCCACCGCAAAACATCTCTTTTCCCTCTGTTTGCCTAGGAAAACTTCTGTTTCCCTCTGTTTTCATAGGAAAACCCTCTGTCTTCTCTGTATTCTACTAAGCACAAACACTTGGTTTCATTTGCATGTCCACAGGAAAACCTGTCTTTTCTTCTTTTCGGATAGGAGATCCGAAAAGAAGAAAAGACAGGTTTTCCTGTGGACATGCAAATGAAACCAAGTGTTTGTGCTTAGTAGAATACAGAGAAGACAGAGGGTTTTCCTATGAAAACAGAGGGAAACAGAAGTTTTCCTAGGCAAACAGAGGGAAAAGAGATGTTTTGCGGTGGAAATGCAGAGAAACCCAGGGAATAGAGTTGTGTTCCTGGGCAAAGACGAAGAACGCAGGAGCCCAGGGCAAAGAAAAAAAAAAGGCCAAAAAGAAACAAAAAAAAGGGCAAAGGAAAATTCTACACCCCTACGCTGGTAGCATATCTTCTAAAGCTACCATAGGGCCCATGCCTCGCAACAGGCTTGGGATCGGCAGCTCCGGACTGCTTGAAACTCTACAGCCCGGACTGTCTCAACCAAGAAAGCGGAGAGCCCTAAACCCAGGCGGGACCTTGCCAGGCTTTGTCCGAGGGCGAGTGTCAAAAAACCCAGGCGGAGACGGAGTTTGAAAAGCGTAAACCCCAAACCCAAGAGCCCTGAACCTCCGCTCTAAACTCGACCCAAACCAGCCGAAAGAAATGACGCCCCGGTTCTAGAGCATCCTTTCTGCCGAGGCGTCCACGCATGCAGCAATCCGGAACCTTGCTTGCCTTTGGTCGTGAAGCTTAGGGATTAGGGCTTCAGGGGTTTGAAGCTTACAGTACTTAATAGGTCTGAGAGCAAAGGGGTTCCGGAGTGTAGAGTGTAATTCGCTCTATTTATTCTAGTAGCCAAGGCCCCTAGAGTATGCTTTTCATGGGGCCGTAGTTCAGTTCACTAGTACACCCTAGACCTTAACCCCAAACCTTGTAGCAGGGTTACTTGGCCCAGAACGGCATGCTGAAAGACCTGAAGCCTCAAGCCGCGAAGCCCCAAACGCAACATCCGACCAAGGACATCCTTCTCAGAGACCTTAAGGAGTCCATGAATTACCAGGGTGCTGCAGCTGGGCTTTGCAGTTTTAAAGATGTTGATGATGAATGCTGACTGTAGTACAGACAAGTTCAAGCAACGATAATAAGAGTTACAAGTTATATATATATATATATATATATTTGAGGATTTTGTGTTCGTATCGTCTCGGAGCTAAAGTTCATGGATTAGTTCTTCGTGCTATGCACATAGGGCTTGAGCGTTGCTTTTTAATTAGATGCTATGACCTGTTCCCATGTGGGAGGTGGACCTGTGCTCTTCCGACCCGTTCGCCTTCGATCGATGAACCGTCATCGTAAAAGGATAATGTAGGAACCTGATTAAGAAACCTTGGGCCTTTATCAGGGTTCATTACTTGAATCCTACTGTTTTGGGGTTATAGGCCCAGGGTTTCTTAATCAGGTTCCTACATCATTCACAGACACTTAAGCCCTTGCCCCTGTTGGCTTCGCGAAGCACGGCTGGGTTTAATGGACTTAGTGACTTCTAGGCGCGCCAACTGCCGATGGTCAGCCTGCAGTAGTCAGCCAACCGTTTCTGCGCTTGAGCGCATAGTGCGACCTGAAAACTGAATTTTTAGGGTTTAGGGTTTAGGGTTTAGGCATGGCACTGCTATTGACTGACACTGCACATCTATGGTTACCCCTTATATGGAGGTTGCCCTTAGCACCTACACCCCTAAAAACCTTAAGTTTATGGGTCCCACTGGAGGGGTGTAGGGTTCTCAGGTTTGCAACTCTTGGGTTCTAGGTTCCTGAGTAGAACCTTTTGCCCTTTTCATTTTAGTGTCCCCCCATTACAACCGAATAGTACCAGAAAGGGTACCCCTCTTGTTTCACGGGTTACTCCCTGAACCCTAAAACCCGAGTGCGAGCGCCGAAACCCTAAACCCTAATCGGAGGGACAAAACCCTACAGGAACTCTTGGGTCAGGGTTTAGGGTTTAGGGTTTTGGGGTCAGGGTTTCGGGTTCAGGTGATGAGCGATTGGTGGGCCCTGCACTCCTTTTCGGCGGCCGAAGGTGCACACCAGCAGGGTCTAAGTTTGGTGATGGGGTGTATATCATCAGTGTTCTCATTTCTCCACTTTATTTAGTATTTTGTATCATCACCATTAATGTTGTTATTGTGATTATGCTCATCGAGAAGGGTTGGGTCTGGGGGTCTGGGGGGTTTCAAGTTGTAACTTATGCCTTACGTTCCTAAGTACCTGCCTCGATTTAGGTCCATATACTATAGAGCATGAGGCTCTGCGACCAGACGAGGGTTTGATAGGGCAAAGTTGTAGGTTGGTGGAAGCAGGAAGTGCTGAAAGTCAGAAACTACAGCAGTCATTCGGCAAGCTTCTCGTCTGCTCCTTCCATCCGGAAGATAGGGTTCAGGGCTAAATTTTAAGTTTAATTCGGGCATGCGAGCTTGTGAGCCGCAGAGCTACCTGAGACACATTTGCACACATCGTTCGGAATACTCGTAGCCTTCTGTTCCTAAGCCCCAGCGTCGCAGACTGCAGAACTCCGAGGCTTAGAGAAGGGTTTCGGGAACGCACTTCGGCTTGACTCGAGGGCACGGGGGACTAATCTTGTCGCTAGTGTTTGGCATTCATGTATTGTAAATCAGTTTTGTTGAACGAGACAAGCCTCACCGCAGCCCACGAATGTAAACCTCGAAGGTCTAAGAATCCCCTGCAGGCCTCGACATGGAGATGCCGGGCAACAGCATCGAGGGCAATCCCTTGAACCAGGCCTTGTTCCAGAGCTGCCTGCGTTAGGGATGTTCTTGAAATGGTTTTTTTTTGCCGCCGCTATAGCTCCGCCCGTTTTTTCGTGTGTCGCCTAGACTGGACTCTGCAAATCAAGAAAGCAGAGCAGGGGTAGTGGCTAGCGGCTAGCGTTGCGTCAGCTTGTTGTGAATGGAATGCCAGGTAACAACATCTGCCCTGAAACCTCACAGCATGTTACAACTCATAACTCATAATCCGCCTTAAACGCTAAAACCCTAAACCCTAAACCCTGGCATGTTACAACTCATAATTCATAATCCGCATAATCCTTTGAGGTCAAGGCACGACAACCTGTTTGTTGAATCGGTGAGCCAAACTCCTCCAACCCCGAAAAACCGACACCTCCGGCCCCTTTGAGGTCCTAGTAGGGGGTTCCTGCTTGAGCTGGCGAGGAACGTTTCGCGGGACAGCCTGAGGTTTGTAAACCCGATACCCTTACTATACCCGCCTCAACGACTGCTCAATAGAGGTTTGGGAGATCGTATCTCATCATGGGACTATAAAGGTACACTGTTGCTAGTTAATCAGACCCCGATATTACAGCCCCAAGCTTCGTTGTAGACCTACAAGGGTGCACCAGGTGGGGACTAGGATTGGGAAGGATTGGAAAAGCGCAAGGATGGAGTGTGGTTTGAATTGAGGATTTTCGGTCTGTGCTCCCCCGCCTTCCACTTTCACCGCACCCCGAACCCACCCTCCTTACATCCTCGACCCTGCATTTCCTGCTACGGGGCGCAGAGGGAGGCTTAGGGTTTGGGCTTGGGGTTTAGGGTTCCAGTTTCGTGGGCGCTGGCCGGCACCTCAGTCCGTGCTGAAAAGGGTTCCAGGTGTAAAAGGGCTTAGGGTTTAGAGCAGGCATACTTCACGCCCAACAACACGGCCGAGCTCTCCATGGAGAAGCTCCAGGACATGGCAGCGCGGATCTTGATTGGAGTCGCCACATGGTTGCAGACCCTGGGTTTTGGGGTTTTGGGCTTTACGGCTTTAGGGTTTTAGGTTTTAGGGTTTAGGGAAGTTTAGGGCCAAAAGAGAGAGACGGTTTAGGGCCAGCTGATCGGCAGAGTCTGGGTTCCAAAAAGGGTTTAGGGCCAAGGAGCAACCCCAGGGCAATGTGCACCACAGCCCCTGCTCAAAAAGGGGCTTTGGGTTTTCAGACTGGGAATGGAGTGTACACCAAGAACTCCACATGCCGGCCCCGAAACTCTTGACAGTCAGGCTTTCAAGTTTCTGGGTCTTGCAAGAGTGTGCAGGACCACAATGTGGCTTAGGGGCTTAGGGCTGCCCTCTGAGGCTGTTGGGATATGGGAGTTTCCGAAAATCGGGGACAATACCCTAAATGGTAGGATCCTTATTATAAAGAGCCTGTACCCCTGTTTTTCGGAAACCCCCATAATCATATGGGTAGTAGTCAAAACTAGGGTCCCTTTTTGACCCTACATAATAGGTGCCGTATTATATTGGGGATCCAAAAGGGGGCCATAATTTTGACAACCACCCTCCTGGGCCTCGGCATCCTCCCATGAGCCTTCATTCAAGACCTTCAAGACGTGTGATCCTTTCTCTTACCTTGGGGACCTCATTCCTCCATTCCCTACTAACCCCAGGTAAGTTTTGAATGCCAGAATCCGCCGCAAAACGCTGAATCTTAGCCCCCGCCTTCGCCCCCCCTCCCCGCAAACCCGCCGCTGGCCTACCGCGGCCTCAACCGAAGTAAAGCTTGATTCTGAGCTTGCCAGAGCCACACATAAACCACCATGGATATCAAAACGCCTTATTTAAAGGACACGCTTGGATTATCAGGAGCGGTAGTTATCAAACAACTACCAATGCCATGTTGGGGTTCCTTATGATAGCTCTAGTATAACCCTATTCTTGTTGCTGAAGTTTCCTGAACGAGGGGATGCAAGGGATGCTATAGGGTCTCTAAGAATCCGAAATGATACGAAAGAGATTTGAACAATCGATCAACCTGTCCCCCTTGACGTGCCTATATGGTTATGCCATGATGCCCCCACAACCCTCTGCTGTTCTATCACGAAGCCTTTGAAGAACCAACCTAAAGCCTGATATTAGTCGTAGTAGAAGTAGCAGTAGCAGTAGCAGTGGCAGTGGCAGTAGGAGTAGTAGTAGTAGTAGCAGTAGTACCTCGTCGTAGAAGTCAAAGTAGCCCATGTAACTGCAGTATCAAGACTCCCTATACCCAGAGACTCCAATATCCCTTAATTAAGGTATATACCTGAAATCATTTTTTGGGATCCTGCCATAATTTACGGTATACTCCTTAATTAAGGGATATTGGAGTCTCTGGGTTAGGTGCGCTATGGGCTTATGGAGCGCCCGGCCTGCACGCCTGCAGCCGGCGGATGTCACAAGGAGGCGCATCTGTGGGCTTAGGTTTGAGAGCTCAGGGTTCCCAACAAAGGGCTTGATCAGGGCGGGTTTAAGGTTTTAGGGGCCTCGGTTGTAAGTGCGTCGGAAATGAGGATTTTTGGCTTTGGGCTTTTGGGGTTTCGGGTTTTAGAGGAATTAGAGGTCCGTTCAGATTGGAGTTGAGCTTTAGTCTGACGGTGGCATGTGTGGGATCGGCTTCGGTTTACAGCTCTTGGCCTTCGGAGTTAAATTGTTAAATGCACAGAAGCACACTTCGTCTGCTTACCGTATCTTGTGCATGAAATCTTAAGTCCAGAGAGCCCTCTCATTCACCTGACTCGCACATCGCTCTCCTCACTGGGAATCGCTGATCACGGTTAGCCCCAGTGCAATGCAGGGTTTCAGGGTTTGGGTTTAAGGCTTGCTTAGGGGTCCATTTACGTAGTATCTTTCATTTCTCCTCAGCGCAAGATGCGAACCAATCAACAGGTGGTACCCTAGTTGGGGGCCTTCAATCTTGTGCACTCGAACAACCTAATCTGACAGGCCTAAGCCCTTAACCAGAAACTGTCCTTAGTGTTCAACATGCAAGCACCGCCAGATCTACGAGCTCGTGTCGACTTCCGAGGCACACAAGGAGACGACTGCAGTGGTTTTGTTTTTTGTTCGGGGTCGAGCTCCAGGAAGACATCAACGGAGACACAGGATATCCCCCTGAACCCTAGTCTAGCCGCATGTAAGTCTCCGCCCGGAACACCTGGAGTGATCGGGGTAAAACCCAAAGCAGGATTTCGAGCATAGCAAAGCCCCTCAAAGTCTGCGCCGGAAGAGGAGCTGGCAACGAAGATCGTGGCGGACTCGGCACCTCGACGACAGAAACGGGTGCAGCCCCTAAACCCTAAACCCTAAACCCCTAAACCCTAGCCCTAAACCCCTAAACCCTAAACCCTTTGTATTTTGCAGGGCCTGGGGAGTTGTAAGAGGGTTTCGATTGCTGCTGCCAGGATTAACCAAATACGGAGGCAAAGTGCTGTGCCTACAGAAACATGGTTCACCCCAAACCTTCGCCTGCTGAGTTCGAGTGCGAGTGCTAAAACGAGGGTTTGGATTGCTACTACCCTCCCATCATCGCTGCAAGCGCTAAGTCGAATCAGCCCAACCTCAAACAGCCTAGAACGATTCACTCCGAACCCGAGGCACCCAGAGTGCTTCGGGCAAAAGGGTGATATCCTTGCACTATTTGGGGGCAAGTAATTGGCAGTATGTTTCCTTTTTAAAAAAATTCCCTGTGCAGCCGCGGTGACATATCCTACGGAACTGTTTCAATCCCCTGAGCCCCTGAGGTGAGCCCGACATCATCTAGCAGCTAGCTGGAACAAATTCTTTTGGCTACTGCCCCCCCTCTGTAACAGTTATATAGTACGTATAATAGAACTGTTATATATAGTCCGGAATATGACCCCCCAACAGACTGCCCTTGATGATGGCACGGCAGAGAGAGAGAGAGAGAGAGAGAGAGAGAGAGAGAGAGAGAACATAGACTGCTACAGACTGGGCGACAGTACCCAAAGTTTCCTACCCTACAGGTCATCCTTCTGAAGAATGAGCGCCTTTGGTCGCATCATGCTGGAAGTTGGGACTGTTTGTATGCATTGACCAGTTTTCGTCTACAGACTGCCGCGTGGAGTACAGTCTGCGAGTATGTGTATACACACACACACATATATATATATGTATATGTATGTATGTATATATATATATGTGTATACACATACATATGTATGTATGTATGTATGTATGTATGTATGTATTTGATCGCTTTAAGAGCACAGCCCGTTTAGCAAGGGCAGGGGTCTGCTACTGTGCCTAGAGTGTCTGCGGAGTCTTGGATGTGGAGTCGTAGCTTTGCTATGCAGCCAAGAGTAGGTGGGTTTGCGAATGCCTCTTCCTTGCTGAACACACCCGAGTAAACATGTCGATCGAATCCACTGGCAAGACTAACCGCAACTACACCCTAAACTGAGAAGGCTGAAATTCCTGTGGCCTGTCCTACAGTTCATGCAACATCTCACTTGGATTCATTGTGTGTGCTGGCTGACCTCCTCGGCTTCATTGTTGACCGTACTTGCCAAACCATCCACGGGCGATTCGGCTTCAATTCGGTTCTGGTTGACGGGCCGAATCGTTGGAACAGGTAGGTAAACCCTAAGCTCACGAGTCGCAGGAACGACGTCCTCCCGTTCGCAGAAGGTCTACAGACGATGCTCGGGTGTATCGGATTTGTTTTTGGGCTTTGTCTGTTGGGTCGAGAGCTTAGGATACGGGCTAATTAAGGGCTCCATAAAGTTTATAGTGAGGCTGTTCAGCGTCGGAAGGTAGACTAATGATGTAAACTGCCAGCCATCTATTCATGCCCGTTGCTCAGGATAGCTCTGCTGGGGTCAGTGTGCAACGCGTCGAACGATGTGGATGCCATGCTGGCCACGCCGCTTAGGCTAAGTGGAAGGTACACCAACACCCTAAGCCTAGACCCTACACCCGAAACTCAACATGCTTAAGCAGCTTTAATTTTACATGATGGACCACAGAAGTCCCAAGTCGTATGCTTTCACATGTAACACTCGGTTTCTTAATGCGGGGCCTAATTAGGCTTTAGAGAATCCTGTTTCTTACACTAGGGCGTCCCTCTTGAGCGTTAAACCCTACACCTCCAAACCTTTTCAATGTCTTTGCTAGGCAGGAGGGAGAAAAAACCTGAAGAGCTTCATGGGCGGTTGTCAAAATTAGGGTCCCCTTTTTGGGAACCCTGAATATTAGGTGTTGTTCTATATTAGGGACCCAAAAAGGGACCATAATTTTTTAACAACCACCCTCATGCATCTTAGCGATGCGCGAGCCGGAAGAAGCTGTCGACCCTAAACTGTACCCAGAGATCCCACTACCCCCTAATTAAGGAGTATACCTTAAATCAGTTTAAATCATAGTATTCGGGCCTCTATAAGTTAAGGTATATTCCTTAATTCTGGTTATTGGGATCTCTGGGTACACCTTAAGTCCTAGAAGCCTTGAACTCGAGAATTGCGCCCTGAGCTCTCAAAGCTTTCAACCTTATACTTGAAGTCCTAAACCCGATAAGAACCCTAAACCCTCAACCCTAAACCCTAAACCCACCTGCTGCTGGGCTTGTCGGTTCGGAGCGTGCAACCTGCCTTGGGCTCTATCGTCTACAGTCTAAACGAGTTCCCTGCCAGCTGGACGGGTGGCAAAAACCCCGATAAGTTCTCAGCCCCGGCGTCCCCGGCCCTTAAATTTCAAATCCTAACCCTCGAAGTTTCAAAACCCAAAACTAAAACAAACCTGCGCCCTCCAAGCCCTAAGCCCCAAAATCTCCAACCCTTCTTTTTCAGTGAAGTCCTACACCCTATGCGCACTACACCCCAGTGCCGGAACTTTTATGGTCCTGTTTCAGAACCCTACACCCTGTTGACCTAGTAGTAGAGTAGGTAACCCTTAACCTTTTTGGGTAGTATAGTCCCTATATAATCACTCTATAACCAGAACGGTTAACCTTTAGTTCCCCATGATACCCGACAAGTATGTCATTGAATTCCCTAAACCCTAAACCCTAAACGGAGGCCTCGAGCCCTTACCCAGGTGGGACCTTGGCAACTACTACACCGTCGGCGGCTCCGGGCGCGTGATCCCAGACGAGCCGAGGATGGGAGGGTTCGGGTTGCTATTACCATGCATCTTCTTCTTCTGAATTATTAATGTCTTCTTATTATTGCGATTATAATTACGATTATCATTGTTATCATGAGTTCTATCGCCATAGTTTTGGGATTGTTGTTGTCCTTGTAGTAGAGTAGGTAACCTTTAAGCTTGTTAGGGGACTATAAACCCCATATAACCAAAGGTGAACCTTAGTTCCTCTCGGAGGCTGGATATGCAAGTCATGGAAGCCTGGATAGTTACTGCTGAAATACTGTCTGATTCGACAAGGTTCTTTGTTGTAGACGCCTGGCTGTTACTAATACGATTACTAATACTACGTTACTCGATCAGGCCCCAATGTTACTTGCGTTCTCCTAAAAAAGGTTTAGGTGTTCCGCGTTTGGGGTTAAGGGTTGCATTTTGAGATTTTTTCAGCAAGTGCTGCTTGGTGGCTATTTAGTATTCTTGGTTTGGATGTGGGTGGTTGTCGAAATTATGGTCCCTTTTTGGGTCCTTATTATAATACGGCACCTATTATTTAGGGTACCCAAAAAGGGACCTTAATTTAGACAACCACCCATGTGTATGAGTTCATTTGTAGGTTTCACCAGGTTTTCGAGGGTCTTTGTCTGCTTTGTGCCAGGGCATGGGGCTTTTAGGGTTTAGGGTTTAGGGGTTTAGGGTTTAGGGTTTGGATGCAAAAGGGTTCAGGGTTTAGGGCTACATGGGAGTGTCCGAAAATAGGAGTACCCTATTTTCGGGTCCTTGTAATAAGGATCCTACTATGCAGGGTACTATATTAGGGTCCCCTATTTCGGGAAACTACCACATGGGATTATTGGACATGGCGAGAAACGTGCATGTAGAGGCATGATTTGCCCACACATCTATTCACACATACGGTCATGCACGCGTCATACACGCATATTTGCAGGCACATGAAAGTTTGGTTTGGGTCTCTTTGTTTGTCTACGAAGTAAGTTTACTTTTCTATCAGCTGAATCCAGTCACCTGTGTCTGAGATGTGAGTTTCGATGGGAGTTTCCAAAAATTAGGGGTACCTTATTTTGGGGTCCTTATCTAATTAGGATCCTCTGTTTAGGGTACCATGTTAGGGTCCCCTACTTTCGGAAACTCCCAAATGTTGCGCTCGCTGCACAGTACGATCCTCGAAGCAACGGCCGCCTATTGTGCGAAGGCCCGCGGGCTTGCTTGGAGGCCCTTTTGACTTAGTAAGTCTACTTAGTATCCCCTAGAAACCCTATTATAATCCCCATAACCCACCTTACTAACCCTACTTACTAAGTCAAAAGGGCCTCCAAGTGGGGCTTCGGGTTTTCAGTTTCCCTCCCTCGGCCACTAAAGCCTCGACCCGTGAGACCCTAGAACATTGTGGGATTCTGAGGGTCGCTACTTTTTCTTGAGTGTGTCCTTGTAGCAGAGTGGCTAACCTTTAACCTTTTTTGGGTAATTAGTCTAGTCCCTGTATAATCCCTATATAGCCAAAAAGGTTAACCTTTAGTTCCCCATGATACCCGACAAGTAGAGTGCGTCTCTGAGCCGATGGCAATGCGTGTGCCGTGTTGGGAGCCGACATGCAGGCAGACGTACAAAGAGACCGTAACCTCAATTTTTTATCCCTAAACCCCAAACGGCAAACGGTTAAGGGAAGGCCGCAGCCTTCTTCTTCACGGCTCGAGGGAAGCGAAGATCAACACTTCAATCGCAACGGCCGCAACAGCGTTCAAATGGGGGTAGTGATTTTGGATAGGTTCCTGGAAGGGGTCCTTACCCAAGAGGGTAATTAGTGCTTTTTTCTTGGGGGGAGGGTCCCAAACCGACACCGAAGCCCATGAAGCTATGGCTAGACTTGGCTCCAGTGACTCCGGTGGAGACGAAAAATTTAACGGTAAACTATTTGTACTAGTTGGGTAACCTTTTACGTGTTTTATGGGAGCTTAAACCCAACATGGTGTAAAAACTTAAGCCTTCAATAACGTTTAATGCTATCCCAGCCATGAACTAGAACAGTGTTTAGTACAAGTGTATCGCTTCAATTTCGTCGGGTCAGGTTTGCGTCCCTGGTGTTGTACCCCACGGTCCCAACGCTCCTTCTTGCCCCGATGCACACTTGAGCGTATGAGGTGGGAGGTGTGCGGCTTAGGGTGGGGAATCGCCAATGTTAAGATCGCGCAGAACCCCAAGCCTTCCATCTTCAGCCCAAGATGGCCTGTCCTCCTCAGAAAGACTTGCATGGGTTTTGGGGAGAAAGGAGCTAAACCAAGCATCGCTGAAGCACCCGACTTGACCCACTTGCAAACTTAGGCTAGGGGCCTGTTGCGTTTCGTTTAGAGTTCTTTGAGGGTTGCTTCGCAGGCTCTGACAGTAACTCCCTAGCGAACCTGACACCCCCTGCCCGCAACTTCGACCTGAAGAACCAGGAACTCCAGACCCTCAGCCTTAAAACCTGAACCTTTTGAAGGCCTTCTTGCAGTCGCTGCGAGGGACTTCGGGAAAAAGGGACTCAAAAAAACAAGCTTGAACCTTCAGCCCCGAACCCTAAACTTTAAATCCTGGCCTGACTCTCCACCTCTTACGTTCGGGAAGCTAATGGAAGCTAGCAAAAAAGAGCCCCAGAAGTGTAGGCCCCTTATCATGAAGACTTTTCTGAAACTGTGCAAATCTGGGTGCAGCTGCTGCAGGCCGGGTGCCAGGTGGTCACCGAGCTGCAAGACGACGTGGAGGCGCATGGAAACGTGCAAGCGAGAGGTGTGTTCAAAATGGGTTTGGGTATCACGGATTCCAGTATTTGTGTCTCAGGGTTTCAGATTTTCGGTTTACCGGCTTAAGGAACCAGATTCTTTTTTCAAAAAATTCAGGCGTTTCCTCGCCTTAAGGCCCACGCCCACGCGAGGCTGCCTTGCTAGTCGCAGAGAAGGCGGACGTGGCGCTGCTGTGCTCGGCTGCAACCGCTGCAGAGGGCCGGGACCGTGCGGGCCTAAGACAGGTGGTTTGAGGGTTTAATTAGGGTTTCGGATACAGGGTTTAGGGCCTGGACAACGAGGCCTGCTGCAAAGAAAAGGGCTTAGGATTCCAGCTTGCCGGCACACGCCAAAAGCCCGTGCTGATAAAGGGCTTAGGAGATACGGTTTAGGATTGGGATATAGGGTTTAGGGTTTTCAGGTTGTGGGTTTAGAGTTTGGGGATGAGGGCTTCGGGTTTACACTATAATAGGCATAGGGGTCGATGTAAGTATGTTGTACTAGCGTAGGGATCTTCACGGTTTTCTGTCTATGCTGTTCTATACTACCAAAACCCTTTTCTAATGTTTCGTTCGGCCTTTACATGAGGCCTGAAGGCGGGAGAGTTTTCTTTTTTGGTGAGGGTCTTCGAATGTGCTGGAGTTTCTTTAGGGTGTCTGGGGTTTGGGGCTCCAGGAGTCTCGAGCAGAAATGATTGGGGACGCGGGTGTTCCAGGTTTTTGGAAGTTTGGGTTTCGTCTTGAACATACCGTAGCCGCAGCCCCCTGACGCAGATGCAGCGCCCCGAACAATGCATTCCTAAGTTGGCGATGACTGGTAGTTGCTCGCATTGAGGGTGCCGCGTTAGGACGCCAAACTCGAAGAAATACTTGCCGAAGTCGCTGGCGCTTGAAACTGCGGTGTCATGCGCAGACCGGAAACTGGAGCAGGCAATCCCCCCTCCAAGCGCTAAGGCCCTAAGCCACCCACCGCTGTTTCCATAGGTGAAAGCCTTTCTGTTGACCAGGAAGCCTATGTGCCTCGGCATTAGTGGACCGGAATATCTCTGATAGGGAGGTACAGAGACGAAGACTCTGTTCCAGTAGAGGGGCGCTGGTTGATGGAAGAGGGGGCTTGGGTGCATCTTTAGAGCAGGCGTTTGCAGCTTGCAGTGTGGCCCTTGCAGCAGTGGCAGTGCTGCTAGCTGTTACTGGTAGTGGGCCACACGCAAGCTACATTTTCTGCTGTGTCGTCTGCTGCTGCTGCTGCTGCTGCTGCTGCTGCTGCTGCTGTTTTACTACCACTTGGTGAATCTGTTTTATGCTATGGCAGCGAAGGCATGCAATGCGAGAGGTGTGACACGAACAGGCAAGAAGCACGATGGCGATGTCTGATTGCTCTAAGTCTGTTTTCTAGCAGAGGCAATTCCGGTCGGCGTCACTAGTTGCAGTTGCCTATGCTGACCTTGTCAGCCAGAAGTGGTGGTTTAGGGGGTGCTTCGGATTTGGCATCGCCATGGATGTTTTGATTGTGAGGTGTCGGCGGTGGCAGCGAAGCTGTCCATCCCGAAGGTATCGGTGAGCCTCATTCCAGGCCAGATGCTGCGCATCGGTTTAAAGTGCAGCTCAACATTGGTAGTTCGCAGCAGTTGTAACATCGCAACAATGTTGCGCAGCAACAAAACATGAATCATGATGGTATTCTCATGCACCAAAATTCGTGGAGTATTGGTGCATTTTGTAAGTGGCTTTAATCGTAGCATCGAAGACTAATTAGTACACCTCAAACCTTACAGCCTATGACCTGCCAAAACCGTTCGGTGGACCGGCAGGATCGATCGTGATGCCCTGGGTACAGGACGTGGATGCTGCCGTGGCGTTGTTTTTGGCAGGAGCCGCTTGCGGTCGATACAGGTCCCGGTGTTCGCAGCTATCTGCGTTTTTGATGCAAGAGGATCATGATGATGGCGTTTTAAGACCATGGCATGACCGGTACTGCAATCAGTAGTGTTGTTGTGAAACCACCTCGCACCCAGTTTTACTACTACTACTACTACTACTACTACTACTACTACTACTACTACTACTACTACTACTACTACTACTACGACTACGACTACGACTACGACTACGACTTCGACTACGACTACGACTACGACTACGACTACGACTACGACTACTACTACGACTACGACTACGACTTCGACTACGACTACGACTACGACTACGACTACTACTACTACGACTACGACTTCGACTTCGACTACGACTACGACTACGACTACGACTACGACTACGACTACTACTACGACTACGACTACGACTACGACTACTACTACGACTACGACTACGACTTCGACTTCGACTACGACTACGACTACGACTACGACTTCGACTTCGACTTCGACTACGACTACGACTACTACTACTACTACTACTACTACGACTACTCCTACTACTACTACTACTGCAACTACTACTACTACTACTGCTACTACTGCTACTACTGCTACTACTACTACTACTGCTCCCTGCCGGGGCCTAGGGTTTCAGCAAGACCTCTGTACTTACCCCACTCCGAGTTGGGAATCACGGGATGAGTTTGAGCCGGTCACGGGACGCAGAACCTTCCCAAGATCCTCTACAGTGTGCCCCAGAAAGTTGGAGCATGGATTTAGGATGACAAGTGCTGGGATTCCCTATACTTTACCTTAGTGGCTTGAGGATATTGATGTTTCAACTTTCTCGCTTCTACTGTAAACCCTAAACTGAACCCTAAACCCTGCAGCTTCTTAGCCCTCCTCACCACAGGAGAAGCCACGGGCAAAGGTCTTCTACAGGCTTGCAGAAGTCGATTCGTGGTGTTCTGGAGTCGTTAGCGTTTGGCATCTGGAGTGCTGAACATTTTGGCCCCTAACTCCTAACCCTGAAGCCCAAGTGTTTTTGACGTTGAAACCTTTTACTGGCGGTTCGAACCACTACAGCATGATAGTGCGGTCTTCTCCTCGGGCTCTGCGGGTTGGATTGAACCCCCATTGTCGGTTCGTGTAGGGCTTGCGCGTGATGGGGGACGTTAAGCTTCAGGGGTAGGGTTTAGCGATCCCGGTGGATGGTTTTCGTGTTGTTTTTGTGGTTGAAGTGTCCGTTGGAGTTTCTTTGGTCAGCGGAGCCGCCTAAAACCGCAAAGCTTTCTCTGAACACGTCAGCCCTCCACGTTTTCTCGGTGTTGGCCTCGGCCTTAGAAGTTTTACTACACCTGAAATCCGAGAGCCTTGCACAGAGCATCAAGCTAAACCCCGAAACCCTGCGGCCGAAGAGCCTGAAGTCTGGCCTGTGCGGCGGCATCGGCAAGACCTTGAAGCCCTCCAGCCTTGTAGTAAGTCGTTTGCAGGTGCTCACTGGCGAAGTTAACCCTGCGGCAAAGTCGCCGGTGACCTTCCCGCTGTCAGAGAACGCCTCTAGCTCGAATTAATTCCCAAGTACTACCCCCCGATTGACCATTGTGAGGCCAAAACGCCTAATTATGCCCCCAACCTTTATGGCCTGTTGCTAACGTATTTCGGGTTCGACAAAGTCCGCAGGGCAAACTAACGTTTGTCCATAGCACGCCTCAGTAACCACCATAACGTTTTAGTCATAATGCCGCTGTGAACTCTGTAAATCATGTCGTCGTTAACTACAGTACCTTTGCTTGGAGAAACTATGCTTGGGCAATAACAACTCCCCTCCGCAGAATCCTGAACAGAAATCCATTAGAACCCTAGAAATACCTGAACATATATATATATATATATATATATATATGCCTAAAAGTATTTACCTCTATTATTCCGAGTGGTTCCTCATTATAACTCTACACTATAGAAACACTGTTCAATCCTATCCTTTATTTCAGAGCCTAACTTAAACCAAAACCCTGGAAAAGGAGCGCTTCGCTTCCTTTCCCTCGGAGGGAACCCAGGTTAGGATAACGTATTTGATCGTTCAAGCAGGAACACAGCTCCTAATAAGTCGTCCATAAGCGCGTCATTTTTAGGTTCTAGGGTTTTTGCGGCTTAGGGCTTAGGGTTTAAACCCTAAACCCTAAACCCTAAACCCCTAAACCCTAATCCCTAAACCCTAAACCCTAAAACCTTTTGTGGTTCTACGGTTCTACCTGGACCCTAGACACCTGGGACTAGACGAAGCCCGGCAGTCATGGGCTTACATGGGAGTTTCCGAAAATTGGGGGTACCTTATTTGGGGGTCCTTATAAGAAGGATCCTACTATTTAGGGTACTATATTAGGGTCCCCTATTTTGGGAAACTCCCACATGTTTCTGAGGTTCATTGAGGGGAAAATCTAAATACAAAGCCCGCTCGACTCGAGCATTGTGTGCACTGTTGTCCCTCCGTTTCGTCGTGAATAGACGAGATCTCACTAGCTAGTGCAGTGACTGGTTGTTTGTTCCAAAATAGCCAGTATAACATACTCCAAAGGGTAGTCCGGTGAGTTGGGTGTTTGCAAAGTGCTCCGCCCCTTCTCAGGATGCGATCCCGCCATGCACAGAGGTCGAGTGTGAGTACACGGACCGGATGGGTTGAGTCTGAACCACCTGACTCTTCCGTTTGTCGTCTTATGATGACAGACGACTATGAGCATTGACCGTTCGTTTGTTGTGAATTCCATGCTTCTTTGAATCGCCGTCACTGTCGCAGTGGTAGCCGCAGTTTAGTAGTCGATGTTTTTCGTGCTTTGAACATACACGTTGATGTTGGCCTGAGGACTGTATCCACTTCCTGTTCGAGGGTACGGATCGTAGGGGCATGTGTCGCTTATGCCCAGCGAAATTCTCCAAAATGCACGGGGTCCGATTGAATTTCTCGAAGCGCGGAGGTGGCAACTTGCTCGCCTTAAGTAGGCATCCTGACACGGTCGAGGCTGTCTGACTCTTGCCAAGACAACACCTGAACTCTGTACCCGAAAACCCAAAATCCAAATATTACCCCCCAAAGCCTAAACCCGAATCGCAGGAGGGTGTTTGGGCAGGCTTCCCGATATACGAGGACAAGGAGGCGAGATCTTGAAGCAGCGCCAGCGTTACAGCCCCAGGGTTTAAGCACAGTTGGGCTTTGGGTTCAGATTTCACTCAGGTTTGGGGTTCTTCTGAAAGTCTTACTACGCTCGCATGCGGTTGCGAGTTCTTTGATTGGCTTATGCTGCCTGTGTGTAGAGAACAAAGACTTGACGTTTCGAAAGTCTGCGAAAGGCTGATCATTCTGGTTTGGGTTTCAGGAGCTGGCTGTATATGCCGTCCTTAGTCCTTTGAACCCGGTGTTTATGGTTTGGGGGTTGGGTTTAGCAAAGGTACATGGGATGCATGGGGATAGTATCACAAATGTTCAGGCCCGTCTATTGGATGAGGCGCCCAGAGAGCGCAATACCCCGTAATTAAGGAATACAGCTGAAATCATACTAGGAATCCCCTTTTTTTGTTTAAGATATATCCCTTAATTAAGGAATACAGCTTAAATCATACTATGAATCCCCTGATAATTTTAGCTATATTCCTTAATTAAGGGGCCCCCTGGGCTCTCTGGGCAGGTGCTGAGGCTTTCAGCCCTAAGGCCTGAAAACTAAAAGCCCAGAGCCGGAGCCTTATCCTTTTGGAATCTTTGACAGAGCCCTATACCTGGCTTCGGTCCCATTAGGGGTGCCTTTAAAGGGATCTATAATGCTTTAAGGGTTCCTATATGGGATCTATAGGGTTTAGGGTATGGGAGTTTCCGAAAATAGGGGGTACCTTATTTAGGGGTCCTTATAATAAGGATCCTGCTATTTGGGGTACTATATTAGGGTCCCCTATTTTCGGAAACCCCTATATCCCTTGGTAGGAATTATTTAAGAAGGTCTACTAGCCGGTCTGTTTATTCTTTTGGTGGAACCATGAAAAAGGACAAGGCTGAGCTGGAGCCCAGGCATCGTAGACTTCCGGGTCAGCGTATCCTCATTGCCACTAGCTACGAGTGGGATAACTGTTAATTTCCCTTAATTTCCTTATAAAGGGAACCTATTCATAAATAATTTCACAGGGTTTAAAGCACAACCCAGAGCACTACATGGACATAGCCCACCATGGGCGGCCAGAGGGTTATTTTTCCGTTCCCTTGCGCATGAGGTCAGGGGACACATGCCTTGTTCCTGAGACTCAAGACCGACAGAACGGCCGATGATGTCACTCAAGTGTCCCACATAGATGTAGTCTTAGCTTCCCAGAGCCCTGCCTAAGTTTTTCCACTCCCTTTCAACCAAGATGCCTAGGACCTGGAGTAGGCCCTTATTCCCTTTTTTTAGGGTTCAGGTCCCCTTATAAGCCCCTTTAAACCAAAAAGGGCACCCTTTTTCTTCCTAGGTTACTCTTGGGTCTAGATTCCGACAGGTCTCCTTTCCTTTCGGGCACGGCTTGTCCTACACCACCTTCAGCTCCGCGTTCGCATGCCGGATGTAGTCCTTGTGTTCTCCGAGGTTCTCCGAGTGTCAAAGGTCCTTCATATAGGGGTTTCAATAATTGAAAAATACTATGTTGGTGGTTCCTTACTGTAATAATAGCATCATGAGCCCCAAAACCCTATTCTAATTGTCAAGGCCCCTATAGTATCGCGGTGCCGAAGCAGACGATGAAAGGGGAGGGCGAAGCAGATAGGAACATTGAGGGAAGGAGAGAGACGAACAACGAAAGACTGCGGAAGCATTCCACAGGAACGAGAGCCCGGTGCAGTCAGATCATCACACATAAGGGCCAAAAGCCGTTTCGTCGACTTAGCACACGAAGACTTTGTTTGCGATGTGCTAGATTGCGAGAGGCAGCCGAAGAACGGGAGCATGGAGGAGTCCTAAACTCCCCAACCCCAAAGCCACCATTCCGGGCACTATACCCCCATTCTAAGGTAATATAAAGGCCGAACTAATTACCTACACACTTTTGGGGGCTCCTTATTACTAAATTACAATGATAGTCTACCATGCCCCAAACCATTTTCTAACCATTAAGGCCCCTGGATTATAGTACCCTTGTAGATCCCTTACAGTAGCCCTCATAGACCCCCTTTATGGGAACCCTATTCTAACCATTAAGGCCCCTAGATCACCATCGTAAGGAGCTTCCTTCCGCTGAGGCTACGAGCTCCAAGCGCTCTCCGCCTCCTGCGACGACGCAGGGATCGAGTCGGTGGTTTGTGCCGAGGCCGGTCCTTTAAAGGGGTCTTTAAGGGTTACTATAAGGGTAATGTAGGAACCTGATTCAGCAACCTTGGGCCTTTATTTGCGTTCCTTGTATCAATCATGCTATTTAAGCAGGCAACTACTTACTAGAGGGTTCTCAGACTTATAGCAAGAGGTTTCTTTCAGGGTTCCTGTAGTGGATCCACAGGACGCAAGTAGTAGCTCGAGGGTTTTCAGATTCAAAGGGAACTCCAGAAAGTTGGAGTATGGTTTCAGGGTAGGATACCTTAATATTTACCATAAAGGGTTTAGGATAATCATATTCCAACTTTCTGGCTTTTACTTTAAACCCTAAACCCTAAACCCTAAACCCTAAACCCTAAACCCTAAACCCTAAACTTTAGGGTCCAGGCCCTTTAGAGTCTCGGTGTTTATCTTCCGTGGATTTCTGGGCATTGGGTTGGGTGCTTTGCGTGATGGTTTGGGGCTCCGACTTGCTGCTGGGCTGATATGAACCCTGAGGTTAAACGGTTTAGGGTTTAGGGGTTAGGGTTTAGGGTTTAGGGGTTAGGGTTTAGGGTTTAGGGGTTAGGGTTTAGGGTTTAGGGTTACGATTTTCTTTATTCAGGGTTTCAGTTTGCGGAATTGCAGAGAGCTTCTGAGGGCTCTGATTCGCAAAGGTTTTGCAACGACTCTGCAAGGAGGCATCGGGACTGTGCAGGGGTCTATGTGGGGGATTGGGTTTTGAGGCTCGGTCAGACAAGGACCACCTCACGGTCACTATGTTTTACAGTCCTGAGTCTTAATCGTCTCAAGTAGTCGTATCTGATCGCACGTTTTGGTGATTAACAGCATTCCCATCAGCTTCAGATGTTGGAATTGCCATCTTCTCCGTCTGTGAGTGATTTTGCTCCGATGTTGGCGCTTTGTTGGTCCCGTCGCTGGCGATTCTCGTTTGCTCCTATCCTTGCAGCTGTTCTGTTGGAGCTACACCCCCCCCGATTTCGACCCCCTAAGTGCACCACAAAGCTGACAGAAGCTAAGCATACGAAAAAGAAGACTGCTGACTAGGGTTTCGGGTTAACGCCCTCGATGCACCCCGAAGCCCCTAACTCCCGGGCCTCTCAGCAAATGCAGGTGGATCTGATGAACAGTGGGCCAACTGCGGGCGCCGAGGTTGTCCAACTCTACCTGGGGCTCCCCGGCATTGCCGAAAAAGGGCTCGAACAGGGGTCAGTGGTTTACTGGAGGGTTCAGGGGTTTGAGTTCTGAAGCACAGGATTTGTAGGAAGGGGTAAGCCTTCGAGAACTCCGAGGTTTTTTCTTTGAGGAGACGTAGGGTCAACTCCACCAGCCTATCATGGCGTCCCAATTCAATTCGCAGAGTTGTTCATTGATGGTGCCGCCGTGCTGCCGCTTTGGCGTGCTTCTTTGCCACGTGTGAGCTGCGATTGGCAATTCACTGTATAACTTCGAGCCTTTGTTGTTCGTTGTGTTGATCCACCCCCTCCGCTTTTGCTTGCTTTCGCACGTCTTCAACTTCGGCTTGCCATCTGCTTGTGCGCTCGAAACCTGTGATCGCCCCAAAGCACCCTTTAGCACATTGATTATACTATATTGCAGTGTAGTAATTGTATTGTATTGCCTGTATTGCCGATCTTCGACTATAGAAAAAATGAAACCATCCCTAAACCCTAAACCCTAAACCCTAAATCAAGGCAGATGTGACCTTGGCGGTGGTGTCTGGAACTTACGCATCTTTGCGCCCGGACCCCTAAACGCAGTAATAGAGGGGCCTCAATAATGACTCACACTATTTTGGGGGCTCTTTATTATGATTACAGTTTAATGGCCCCCAAACCCTATTCTCATTATTAAGGCCCCTATACTAAACCCTTATAGATCCCTTGTGGTATCCCTTACAGACCGCTTGAAAGGAACCCTATTCTAATTGGTAAGGCCTCTATAGTACCCTCTTAACTTCCCAAAATCCAACCCGGTTTCCTAAGGTATCCAACAGAGGCAAATCTGCCCCAGAAGCTTTTGAAAGGCTTCCGAAAAGCGACTTGGTCCGAGTTGTATTATCTAAAACCCCCATTGAAGCCTTGGACAGGGTCTAGGGTTTAGGGAGTCCCAATCCCTAAACCGTAAACCCCAAACCCTTAGACCTAAACCGCAACCCTAAGCTCCTAGCCGTTGGACGTTTTGTCTGCCCCCAAACGCTCTCGCATGGCACGTGCCTTCTAATAATGATCCTACTATGTATGGTACTGTATCAGGGTCCCCTATTTTTGGAAACTCCCATATTAAGCACCCTAGCAAGTTGAGTCCGGTCGGACGCATCACCTGGATCCGTGCCCGCCGTGTGCGAGCGTGTGACCTAGCCTAGGAAGGCCTCTGGGACAGTTCATATTTCCCCTTATTGGGCTTAATAGGACACTATTTACGAATCTTTTTCAGAGGCTTTAAAGGGCCAACCTAGTAGCGCTCATGATACCGGAACCCCTAGACCGCCTCATAATTCGAACAGGTCCTTGTAGACTATGGGCAGGTGTCAAAATTATGGCCCCTTTTTGGGTACCCTAAATATTAGGTGCCGTATTATGAAGGGACCCAAAAAGGGATCATAACTTTGACAACCACCCATATGTGGATACTGGGTACTGTTTGTAACCTGAGTGCTGTCTTGCTTGGAAAAAGTGCGGCAGATCTAGGAACCCCCATTAAGGGATCTACTTTTTAGATCCTCCCGGGGTCTGGGAGGGTGGTTGGCGCCAGTAGTTTCTGCAACATCGGCTAGTTGAAGGGCTTCTGCGAAGGCTGCAAGGGTTACGTGCGATAAAGGTTTCCACAGGGCTACTAGACAGGTTGCCATAACGGGTACTGGAAAGGATAGGGCTAGAGCTTACTTAGATCCCCAATACTTCACCTTTAAACTTTTTCGGTTCTTATAGTTGAGTAGGAATCGGAAAGTTTTACCTGTTGTTAGGGTGGCTTGTGGGGTCGTAAGTTCAGGGTTTATAAGGCAAAGGGTGAATTCCGAGGCCATGATTGCCGCCAGCGGCGCGGCGACTTTGAAGCTACCTCTCAGCCGGAAGGAGCGGGATTCCGACGGCGGCACTTGAACCCAAAGCCATGAACTCGACACACGGCTAGTTTTCTAAATTCGGGTACCATCTTCGAGCACTTTGTATAAGGGTGCCGTAAGCATGAAGCCCCAGTCTCACTACCAAGGGCCCGTATATCACAGTGTTCTTGCGCTCTACTACGTGCCGTCAGCATAGATGATATCAGCATTGGTTCTTTTGATGCACATATCCCAATAGCAGCAGCGTCAAGTATCGCGTACATGCTTAAATCGTTGACGACAGCAAGCAGCAACTGCAACAATCTTCCATCTAGCAAGAACAAACCTGTTTCACCAAAACCATGCCATGGTCATGACATGCACCGAGACGATAATACTGCCAGCACGAAAAATCCAAGCAGCGATGATCATGAGCACTTGCACAGCTGACCTGCTACAGAATCTTAGCTTGTGGCGGCAGGACATTTCCGCATGGTCCTCCGAATCGAAAGAGTGCCTGGGTTACCTTGGAGTAAGCAGCTGTCCAAGCGACACAAGTAGAATCAACGTCGTATAGTCTGATGTAGTATCGTATGCTAAAGTATAGTCACAGTGTATTATGTGGGTGGTTGTCAAAATTATGGTCCCTTTGTGGGTCCCTGATATAGTACGGCACCTATTATTTAAGGTACCCAAAAGGGAACCCCAACTTTGACAGCCACCCATGCAGCATGAAATTTGGAAGCGGTTTGGAGTTCAGGCCCTAAACCCTAAACCCCTAAACCGCGCGTAACATGGGCTTCTGGCGGTGCTAGACGGGCCGGAGCCATGCTAAAATGTACCCAGAGAATCCAATAACCCCTTAATTAAGGAATACCTAGGGTTAGGGTTCCGTTTAAGGGGTCTATAAGGGATCTCGAGGGTTTAGGGTTTAGGAGAATCCAATATCCCTGAAGTACGGAATATACCTTAAATCATATTAGAGCTCCTACTTGAATCAGGTATATTCCTTAATCAAGGGATATTGGAGTCTCTGGGTGGTGGGCCCTACTGGCCACTTGCAGTTTCCAGGTTACCAGGAGTGTCGCAAAAGAGGTTTTCCGACTTGGGTGAGCCACCTTTTGGCCCTCAGGCCACACCCCGGTCTGAAATTCATTAAAATTTTACACTCTAACAAGGAGTCCCTACCACTCCAAAGCCTTGAAGTAGCTACACTTAAAACCCCAAACCCTAGACCTATGACCCTAAACAGTCGAAGCCCGAACCCCAAACAATAAAGGTGGGTGCTGGTGGATGGCACCTACACCATTTATATTGGCTCCTCGTGCCCTTGCTGCCAGGTTTTTGCTTTGGAATTTCGCGTTCAGGGTTTGCGGTTTCAGTTTTTTTTGCGTTTAAGGTTGTAGGGCTTCGGGTTTGTGTTGTAGGGTCTAGAACTGCGCGACATGGTCTAGAGACCAGATGCACAAGAAAGGCTGCTGAGGTGCTGTGTTCCAGAGACCAGAGATGCCCCGCCATGTTTGGTTGTGCTACTGTTGATGGACAAAATCCTGCATGACCCTAAGGGCTCTAAACTATGGGAACTATCGTATATTCCTTATAATGGGTAATGCAGGATTTTGTCCATCAACAGTATGGCCAATGGCAACCTTACAAAAGTCTTTCCTTCGTATTCTTCTGAAGCCAAACCATTCCCCTGAATACGCCGGTTTGTTTGTTGCATGAGCGCACGACCCCTTTGACGGACGTTTGCCTTTTTTATGGTTTTTACATGGGTGGTTGTCAAAATTATGGTCCCTGTTGGGGTACCTAATATTATTCGGCACCTAATATTTAGGGTACCCAAAAAGGAACCCTAATTTTGACAACCACCCATATGTTTTTATGATCTGGCACTGAGGAGTCGAGACATTCGAGCGACAGCACAGCTTCCTGATGGCACTTACAGTATCATTTGGGACGGCGACTCAGTAATAGATGAATCTTATTCAAAACATAGATTTATTAGGACCTATTAATAGTAGCCCTATTATAGACTATTACTGTATGGAGGCAGTCAGTACCTAAAGTATGATTTCCAGCCACTTCTAGACTCCGCAATTGAATTGTCCGTCGAATGGACAATGCCAGATACGAAAGGTGTGCTTCAGCGTTTTTGATCAACATTTTGAATAGGGACTTCTGTGCAAAAAGATCACCACGTCGGGGAACCAGAGATATCTTTTCGTCTTGTTCGTGTTGTAGCGGCTGCTGTGCATCTGCTGGCAATACAGGGACCTTAGTAATTACCTAAACCATTTTGGGGTTTCCTTATTATTATTTCTATAGTACAATATACCCCAAAACCTAGTCTAATTACCAGGGCCCTCGTATCAGTTTGTTGGTGGGAATCGACTCGCCTCTCCCGCTATCCTCGGCTGCAGGTTCACAGCTCTTGATGGTGAGATCTCCTTCTCAGCGGAAGAATCTGTGCCATCCGAGGATGTTTGAACACTAGGATGCCCAGTAGTACCCTGATTCCCTTTTTGTAGTCCTAGGTTCCTTATAAAGGTACCCAATAACCAAAAGGGAACCCTTTTTATTCCTGGGTTACTGGACATCCTAGAACAGTGTTACTTTTATTCCTGATGTCTGCAGCCTTACCAATACAAGGACCTAAAGTCGAGTCCTTTGCTGTCTGCGTGCCAAAGGCGCAGCAGAGCTTTTTGGTCAGGAACCCCCTAAAGGAACCCTTAAAGTAGAATCCTTAAAGGGACCCCTTAAAGAAAGCCTTCAAGCCCCCTTAGAGGAGCTCCACATCCCGTAGAACCTTTGTATGAGCGCTTAGGGTAGCAGCCCGAAACTTTCAACCCCCTGGAACCTTAGGCCCCTAAACCTCTAAAACCCTACTTAGAGGCCCAGGGGACTTAGTAAGTCGGTTATAAATTGGGTTATAATTGGGGTAACTCCATTTAGGGTACTTATAACTCTACTTATAACCTACTTACTAAGTCCCCTGGGCCTTTGAGTAATCCCTAAACCCCTAAACCCCCCGCCCCGTTCAGCTTAAGAGCCCCCGATCCGCCTTCGGCGGAGAGGAGACGGGACCCGGCTTGCGGCCTGGGAGCAAAAAGGAGCGGCTTCCCCAGGCAGAAGCCGATCTATCTATAAAGTATATACGTATATAATATTATATGTATATATGTATATATATATATATATATATATGTAATACTGGATTAAATTGTCGTATTTTTCATTTTGTTCTAAATCCGGCTCCGGCTGGAAAAGAGTAAGGTTCGGTTTAGGAGACAAAGACACAAACTGAAACGATTCTGAAAACCACGCAGTTCTCTAGCAGCCTTTCCAAAGCGGGGTTCCATTGCTGGGGGACTCGAGTGCACCCCTCACCCCGTATGTGTATGTATATATACGTATACACATACCCACATCCCCCCCACACATATATATATATATATATATATTATATTCATACATACATACATACATATATGTACTACACATCATGTTCTATGGAGCCATGGAGCACTAAATTTTCAACCCCCAAACGCGACAGCTGCAAACCTAAAACCTCAGCCGCCCGGGGCTTTCTCCAGGCCCACACAACCCCTCAAAGAAATCCTTGTAACACGGATTAGGGCTTAGGGTATATGGTTTAGGGTGCAGCGGCTCTGACATCCGACATCCGGGCGGGATATGCGAGTCTGTGCAAAAAGGGTTTGGGGTTGACGAGGGCTTTAACGATTAGAGCGCGGTTCTGGGGCATAATGCTGTATACTTATGACAGGGACTGAAAGGGAATAGTAATACGAATCATTCCGGACCGTTCCGTTATGCTGTGTTTTAAATAATATAAGGTAAGATCAGATTTAGTTTCGCCATGTTCGATTCTTAACAGGCTACATGTGAAACTGTTAGGTTGGAATATCTAGGTCACGGTCTATCAACGAGGTTACATTACTCTCTGTGCTATCCTGTCATATGATGTTCGATCTTAAAGAACGATTGTGTTTGGTAGCACTGTATGGGAACATGTTAGAATATGTCAGTACATATATCTATGTATAGACATGCAGTTACACAAAGGGTACGGGTATATGCTTGCAAGCTTGGGCTGTAGCATGTTAGGTTATATGCGAGTAGAACATCTGAGAAACTTTGGTTGCAATAAGTAAGACTGACTGTTTCCGATTGTATGAGGGTATGTTAGATTCAGGTTTTGTTTTCTGTTCTGTTATGTTGGTTTCTATTAAACCAGTTATCCTCGGGTCTACTCGAAAATGCTCGAACATGTCTGCCCATATGGCGTCAGGTCATTTTTGATATACGCTTACATTGGAGTATTTTAGATTATATCAGGTGGTATTCGGTTATATCGGTTTACAAAATGTAGGCTGCATTGTTCGCTATACTACACTATACTGTGTGTCATCACCATATGATTTAGTATGTTGCGTTTGTTGGTTTGTCTACGCCGTTTCATGTTTTGGTATGTTACGTCTCGTGTTTCTTTTCAAACTCTTTTTCATTCCTACATTATCACACCATTTCATGTAATTATATGGCTGTTTATTAAGTTGTACACTATATTCGGTTCCATTCTATGCTGTTCTCGTTTGTTCTATTCGACTTTATTCCGTTCTATTATGTTCTGTTCTATCCTATTCCGTTATATACTTATCTACTACATTATACTGTACTATACTTCAGTGTTTCGTCTTATGTAGCGACATGCAGTTTGATATCATATTGCAGCATACGTTCTCTGTTGTTTTAATCCTTGCACCTGTGCCATCATGTATGTAATGCCATACCATACTCTTATGGTCTAATCTTCCATTATACCATTGTGGTAAGCGCCCTCCCCATCTTCGGGTCGTTCCTCCTCCCATTCGCAGTGTTGCAGCGGTCGAAGGGGTCGTGCTGGTCGGTGTCGTCGTGGTAGTGTAGGGCCAGTGCCTACCGCCTACGACTGCCAATCGTGGTCGCAGTCGTAGGTGGTGGCTGGTGCTGGCTGTTCGCCCAAGCCCTAAGCAGCGCGGATCCTGAGCCCTAGCTCCCCTGGTTTGTGGTTCCACCTTGTCAGAAGAGCGTTCTGCAGCCAAGGCGCCCATATTGCTCCGAGCAGGACCACCTTGATTGTTGGTCCAGGGTTTGGGATTCTCAAGAATTTGTTGTTCAGGGCAAACTGATTCAGGGGTACCCGGCAGTCGCTGTAGGCTTGGATGCAAAAAGGGCAAACTGATGGCGGATCCCCAGAGCCTCGGAGCTCAGGGTTCGGAAGCCCTAAACCCTAGCGCCCTAGGGTTTAGGGTTCAAGGTTTGGAGGCTCCGCCCCGCTTTTGTTTACAGTGGGCCTGTCTTGGAGACCCGCGCCCGAAGCAGATTTTGGGTGTTGCAGATGAGGACCTCGAGCCCCGAGCCCTAGGCCCCTACTTGGAGGGTCGGGGGACTTAGTAAGTAGGTAGTAAGTAGCCTTATAAATACCCTAAAAGGGACCCTAATTGGGGTTATGGTACATATAAGTCCCAAAAATAACCAGTTACTAAGTCCCCCGACCCTCCAAGTACCCGGCCCTGCCCTTACAATCGAAACCTCAGAGCAATAAACTCCCTGCGAGAACTTCGAAACTCCTGAGAGCCGTGCAAAAACCTGTGAATCTCACTTCCAAGGCTTTCGTAGTGTGATCTCCTGCCAAAAACTGCCCGGCAGCTGACGTTTGGGGTTAAGGCTGGTTTGGGTTGTATATATATGTCCAGGTAGGCCTTTGGGACATTTTGCATGTTCCCTTCTCGGGCTTATATGATCCCGGTTCGGCCAGCCACCCCCACCCCCAATGGTTCCTCCTCCTCCCCCTGTGATGTGGTGTGGTTGTGGGTTGCTTCCCTCTCCCTGTGGTGCGGTGTGGTGTGGTTCGGGAGTGGGTCTGCTTAGGCTGGTTACCCCACTCCTTCCTGTGGTGTGGTGTGGTTTGGGTTTCCTGCGTGGGCCTGCTTGACGTGTGAGCCCTCGTGTGGAAAAAGCTTGCACAGTCACACACAGATTCGGCGTGGAGAGCGTGGGGGGGGGATACCATTGGGGGGGGGGGTCGGTGAAACGAGAACCGGGATCATATATAATAGGACCCTATTTACGAATGTTTATTTTCTGAGGCTTTAAGAGCCAACCCAGATGCAGTAACTTTAGGTTCAGAGTCGTACAACACATTACTTCGGATAGCCAAAGGGAGAGAATGTTCAAGAGAACGCTCGGCAGGGCAGTCAGGGTACCGCCCTGTCCTTTGTGCCAGAGAGGTCCTACCGAATTGCCGCATCGTTTCCCGGCTTAGTACCCAAGGTTCAAGCCCAAAGCCCGAAAACTCCGCAAACTACAAGCCTGTTATAGTAGCCCTTCAAGGGTTCCTGTTGTAGCCCTTCCACCGCCCATCTCGTCTTGGTAACCTTAAACCCCAGACCCTAAACCCGAGAGCTAGGGAACGATTGTGACCAGAATTGCCGCAGACCTTGCCAGGCTTCTCCGAGTGTGTCAAGGCCGCAACCCTAAACCCTAAACCCGCAACCCAAACGTTCGAAGCCGGTGAGGACCGCCTGGGGGACGTCTTCGCCATCAGCATCTTCGCTCGTCCTGGTGGGATGAGTGCAGCCGTGGCTCTCAGATTGCGGCTTGGGAGAGGGTGTAAGCTTTCGGCTTTACAGCGGTTTAGGGTTTAGGGTTTTACGGTTTTTAACAGGGGCTGGGACAGTATATGATTGATTGAGAAGGTTGGGCTTTGGGATTTCGGCTTTTGGGCTTCTACGGTTTGGGGTGCAAGCAATCAAAACCTGCTTGTGTAAAGGGAAACTTACTGGAGCACATCTTGTGATGTGGAAGCAACGGGCGAGCGGTTATGAGTCGTAGTTGCACTTGTCTAGATAATCACAAAACAGGCAATAGCCATGGACGATACTAGCTGTTTGATGAAACTGTCCAAGGCTAGATGCAGATACACTCCAACTGCTTGGGCTGAAGGGTCAATCTACCCAGATGCCGCACGGCTTTCACTAGGGGTACCTTACTTGGGGGTTCTTATAATAAGGATCCTACTATTTAGGGTACTATATTCGGGTCCCCTATTTTCGGAAACTCCCAAATGGGACGCTGTATAAGACAAGGATCGCTCAACTCCAATCCCAGATTTTGGCGTCGTTGAAGACGAAGCTGACCCATGGGATCGCAGAAGTGATGCAATGCATAACCTCCCTTGACATACATTGCTCCATGTTCGGCTGATCTAGGCTCTTGTGCGGTTCATCTCGTCAGCTTGGAAAGAGGCAAATCTCATCGGTAAACGTTCAAGACGTGAGGTGGGACTTCTCCCGCAAACTCTGGAGCCCCTCTGCCTGCAATCCCGCATCGAACCTCTTCCACTGTCTTTTCGAGGCTGTGCCTCACGAACCCATTTGCGAGGACTTCCCGATTAATCCGTACTGCGGCCTGGCCTTTTTCTCAGG